TTCACATAGCTACAAACAGTAACGAAAAAGTTTTATCCAAAAAATCAAAACAAAATGGCATAATTTCCCTAAACAAAATAATCTCCTTAAAAAAATCCCTTCTAAACTGAATTTCTTTCTACGAACAAACCTTTCTTACTTTTTTGACATATCACCCTTTTTTTTCTAACACAATTACTTCATATTATCTTTTGTTTTCCAATATTTTATTCCAGTCGTCCTGTCTCTGAATTTTCTTACAATATTGCGGATTCTCACCTTATCACTAGTACTCACGGCTACTGTACTACTTCCTGTTTGTTCGGTTGAAGGTCCTGGGAGACTGTATCCTCCCTTTATGAAAGATGATAGGGCTTTCCTCCCGTCTGTTACATTGCCACTGACAGGAAGGCCGAATTTCTTCAGCTCCTCTATTAGTTCTGCCTTCTTTAGGGTGTAGATCCATCCTACTCGGGGATTCCGTCTTGTTTCCTCAGGAATGCTCTCTGTCTCTGAATCAGTCATTATGTTGGCGTATTGGTCCTCCTGGGTATAACAATGAATTATTTTCATAAACAAGTATCAAATAACTAAAAGTAATAACTTAGAGCTCGTTCCTTTGTTCCTCACAAACTTTCACTTTTTCAAAGTTCTTAATTCCTTGAGTCAATTTGTACTGAGTTGTCACTATTATAGTCTCTGTTCGGGCGCCAAAATTATGTAAGGAAGTTTTCCCTTTTGAAAGGAGAAAAGTCCCTTTCACTCTACTACAAAATATTTCTAGCTTTTTCCTATCGGGTATTTCCTGGGTTAGTGACAACTCAGACTGTTACAAACTGAACTCATTTATTTTGCGCTATTTACAATATTTACATCAATTTCTTTAAAACATATTATGCCTTCTATTTCAAAGACAACCATCAATCGTCCAGTGTTCACCGTCGTACTGGTCCTTGCGATCCTCTGGAATGCCGTTCCAACGGCGTACTCCCCAGAGAGCAACCTATCGTTGCTGTCGCCTCGCGTCGGCTGTCTGGCTCCAACTGCCCAGCCCTCTAACAGTGATGTCGATTCTGCGGCGCTGTCTCTTGCTGACACCTCTCGTCGGCTGTCTGGCTCCAACTGCCCAGCCTTCAAATAGTGGTGTAGACCTGTAGCAAGCTGCGCTGTCTTCTGCTGACCTTTCTCGTAGGCTGTCTGGCTCCAACTGCCCAGCCTAAAACAGAATCCCCTATTTAATACCGTCCACTATTGTACGGAGTGGAATGGGAAGATGCAAAGGATAGCTGGGGGCTCAACACGCCCATCCAGCCAGTGCGGGCTCAACACGCCCGTGCACTAAGGTACTGGGGGCTCAACACGCCCATCCTGTACCGGAGAAAGGAAAAAGTACTGGGGGCTCAACACGCCCATCCCGTACCGGAGAGAGGGAAAAGTACTGGGGGCTCAGCACGCCCGTCCTGTACCGGAGAAAGGAAAAAGTACTGGGGGCTCAACACGCCCGTCCCGTACCGGAGGGAAAGGTAAAGAAGGAGTGCTGGGGGCTCAACACGCCCGTCCAGCCAGTGCGGGCTCAACACGCCCATGCACTAAGGGATGGGAATAGTACTGGGGGCTCAACACGCCCATCCCGTACCGGAGAGAGGGAAAAGTACTGGGGGCTCAGCACGCCCGTCCTGTACCGGAGGGAAAGGTAAAGAAGGAGCGCTGGGGGCTCAACACGCCCGTCCAGCCAGTGCGAGCTCAACACGCCCATGCACTAAGGGAAAGGGAATAGTACTGGGGGCTCAACACGCCCATCCCGTACCGGAGAGAGGGAAAAGTAATGGGGGCTCAGCACGCCCGTCCTGTACCGGAGGGAAAGGTAAAGAAGGAGCGCTTGGGGCTCAACACGCCCGTCCAGCCAGTGCGGGCTCAACACGCCCATGCACTAAGGGAAAGGGAATAGTACTGGGGGCTCAACACGCCCATCCCGTACCGGAGAGAGGGAAAAGTACTGGGGGCTCAGCACGCCCGTCCTGTACCGGAGAAAGGAAAAAGTACTGGGGGCTCAACACGCCCGTCCTGTACTAGAGGGAAGGGAAAAGTACTGGGGGCTCAGCACGCCCGTCCTGTACCGGAGAAAGGAAAAAGTACTGGGGGCTCAACACGCCCGTCCAGCACCCAGGGAAGGGTCACAGGGGGCTCAACACGCCCATCCGGTGGGGTCGGGCCCGAAGGCCCAACTGACTGCTGCCCAAGTGTCCTCCCTTATATGCACGGATTTTACCCCCAAAAGGTGGGGGAAAGTACTCAGTACCGGGCCCTGGTACTGAGCTCCTTCCCCAGCATATTGTCCTGAGAGAATTTACCTGAGTGAAAAGTACTGGGGGAAAAGTGCTGAGGGAAAAGTGCTGAGAGAAAAGTGTTGAGGGAAAAGTACTGAGGGAAAAGTGCTGAGGGAAAAGTGCTGAGGGAAAACGGCTCAATTCTATGTATACTATGATCACTTCGTTACAATTTAACTGTTTATCCCTACTCCTGCACTGTCCCAAATGAGGTCCCTCCCAACTCACTGCATCGAGGCTCAACCACACAAGATCGCCGTCTCCGCGCCAGATTACTTTTATTGCTAACAGACCCAATTCTTTGGGATATCCTTTTATCTCTCGTGATTAGTTTGGACAAAGGCTAGTATTAGTATTTAAACTTTGTGATGCGAATTGATGTTCCCAACAGCTGTAAATCATGTTTGATGATTAGGTTGTGGTAAGAAGGGGTGAATCCTTGGCAAATACTGCTGCAAGTTAATAGAAAGTGTTGAACATTTGTACAAGGCCAGCAACAAGTCTTCATCAGTTTCGATCAAAATAAATTTGATTAAACTTTGCTATCTACTCAGTGTGTTCAAGATTTCCAGGTATTTATTGTAGTCCTCGATAGATATCCCCTATCAGTTTGGCAATGTCTTCTTTAGTTACATTGTGATCCGCATGCCAAATTCCCTACTTCTAGTCACTGCTTCGAACAAGTCTGATGAACGAGAGCAGTTGCCCCTTCCTCCACTTTCTACGTCACACATTTTCTACGTCCAAACTACTTTACTCCATCTCTGTCTGTAGATCGACTTCAATAAGTTCATATTTGAGACCGCAGAAATATAATGACAGAACCTGATTTATAATTAGCAGGAGCATCAACTTTGCTTCACAACCTTTTTTAAACACTGTGTGAGACTAATCGAACCGTGAGTAATGGGAACTGGCTAGAATAAAAGTGGATGGATGAATTAAAACCCGACGTTAGCCTAATATTTAAACTAGCTTGTTTGGAGCTTGATGGAGGACTTTATTTACAGACAGCATTCATACACGAGTTGGGCAAAACCAATAATTTGACAACGCCAGCTTTTTGACCTGGCTTCATACCTTTTGGTTTAAAATGTTTAGGCGAATACAGAGAAAATCCTGTCAATGAAATTTACAGTTTTCCAAAGTGTGAGATTAGAAAATCAATATTTTTCTTCATCTTAACTCTATTGTGTAACTCTTTCATAATTTGTATCACGTTTTAGGGAGAGGTTCAGAATTCATAAGAACCCAAATACATCAAGCATACCCAAAATTCTGGGAATTTCTAACAATGGATTCCTTGATAATAAAAAAAGTCTAGGGATGTGCAATGCATCGAAAATGCATCAAAATTACGATTCGATTCAATTTGATGCATCGAATCGCGATTTGATTCAGTGGTGATCAAAAAACAATTTCATGAGGGAGTCAGTATCCATTACGATTACTAGAAAAATACCGGTATGGATCATAAACATAAACAAATGACGTTGTTTGCCCCAATCCTATACTAATATCATTGAACATATGGTTTGGCAGTTCCATTTAAGCAATTTTAAATAATGTTTATTTTCAGGCCAAAAACGTCATTTGTTTATGTTTATGATCCATACCGGTATTTTTCTAGTATTCGTGGTATCCATATACAAAAAACGCCTGCACAAAGTCAACGCAATACCCGCAATACAGGAGCGGTTTAATTAATTCTTTGCTTGTAAATATTGCTTTAATTGTTTTATAATGTTTTATTTTGACATTGCAAATTATGAGAAGTTTTGTTTGGTGTAACCAGTGTGAGACATGTTTTACTACTGTAATAGCCAAAACAAGCCACTCTAAAATCATTCTAAAAATAACACAGGTCTGAAAAATTTTTACTTGATACTTAACTAGTAATTTTAGGTCTTAGACTGATAAATTTGGTATTTTTTGCCTGCTTTGTATTCCTTGTAGTTTGTAGGTCTGATTCTATCCTCTCATTTTATCAATTTGAACCAATTGAAAGTTTCAGTATAAATATTGCAAATGTTTTTATTTGTTTACGCCAAAACATATCTTTATTTGTAAAATCAATACTATAAAATAGGTAACATGTAGGCAAGTAAAGCAGCTCACTGACATTTCCAGCAATACAGGTTCTTCTAATATATGATTGAAAATAAATATTTTTTCACTTAAAATTCATATTATGTCATATATATGATAAGGCCTAATACCACATCAACAAAACTTTGCTTTACACAAATGTGGTAAATTTTAATTAGCCTATTGTTACTTCACTCCATTGACATGTATGAATAGAAAAATGCGTATTGCTTTGAATCGACATGTTGCTTCGAATCGAAGATTTTTTGCTGCTTCGCACACCCCTAAAAGTCTAAGGATGATTATGCTATGCTCACACATAACATAACCCAGCAGTAAGTAGTCTTACTGTTTTGAGGTTTGGCCTGAAAATCCTGGATCATCCATTGGTGCACTTGGCCATCTGACACCCTAAGCCACAGTCCACAGTCTCTAAACCTATAAAAATTTTCTGCCAATGATAAGAATAAGGGCCTAATGTTCCAATTCTCTTTTCCTACAGTGTGCCTAAATCCCAGTTAAAGCAATCATGATTTTTCTTGAGATTTCAGGATTAGTTTGGTTATTAAAGTTTGTTACAAAGGTGAAATTTTGTTGTTGTTGCAGATTCATCGGCTGTCTGAAGATAAAATAGACTCATTGAATGATTTACTAAACACTTTTACCTCCAGAATTTCAATGTATGACAGGGTACAGAAAATTCAACCGTCCAAAGTAAAATGTGAAGTTTTGGAGCTTGTCAACATTGAAAATTGTGATCCGAAAAAAATTCAGGTATCCAAAAAAAATCAATTAACATAAAACGATTAGCCAAAGAATAAAGCTTAAAACAATTAATTGTAGTCACTTGTCCATTGAAGTTTCAATAGTCCTAAATTGTTTTACTTTTTTTTATATACATATATTTAATATATTCGGAATCTTGACCAATGCAGCAATATTTCACATACCAATAATTAAATGTTGCTTTAGTTCATTATCATCTATAAAAAGAGTCTTGAAAATATGGTTAAACAGCCACAGCAAGTTTGCAAAATCGGAAATGTCAGATAAGTGCAAGGCCATCTCAAACAATGTAAAAAATATTAATTAAATAAAAATACAAGATAAAATCACCACTATTGTTCAGTCAAACAAAAGATCAAATAATACATGTCTACTCAGTTAGAGGGTTGACAATCTTACTTTCCGTTGTAGTATATTACACAGCATCATAACATAGCCTACTAAGAATATATTAAGACAAAATGTTTTGCTTTTATATGAGAGTAATAGGATTGAGATTGGCTGTATTCTGTCTGGAGCAATGCTCAGCTTTAAGCAAGCAATATACCAGTGTAATGATCAGTACCATTTGTTTCCGCAGTACTATGGCCACTGTGCCTTCAGGTTTGTGGAGATGGAAGGTTCCCTTTTCCCTGCAGAGCTCTCCCTGGGGTTGCTGAGATACAAGGGATTTCTCTTTGCATTCAGTTCTGTTGAAGCTGCTTATACATTCGGAAGAGATCCTGAAAGGTATTATTAGTTTATTTTTATTTAATTTTGTACATTTACTACTAAGCATACTGCACATGGAGATGGGAAGGAGTATGCGAGGTTATAGGGAAAGTAAGTAAACTCTCACAAAAGTAATGCACTTGCAATTGAAAGATTTATGATTTTGCTGACATTATGGATGACAACATAAAGATTGATTGTGATTATGGGAGACAATCATTAAATTACATCATTAAAACATTAAATTACTCAATTAATTCATTACATGGTGTTAAAAACCTTGAGCCTCAAGTTTTATTCCAAAAGCTTAAGCCAATTGGCTTGATCAAAAATCTTAGATTGCACACTCTACCTTTTGGCATATCTTGCTTATTGGGCAGAATGTTGGGGGAGCGAGCTGGTCTAGTGGTTAGAGCACGGGGCTTCGGTGCCTGAGGTCCCGGGTTCAAATCCCACCTAATCAGCAATGGATTTTATCTAAGTGATAATGCCGCAAGCCCTAGGTCTAGCCTGAAGTAATGTGAAAAACAATCCCGGGCTCGTACCTAGCGTCCTAGGACAAAAAAATAAAAAATTTTGGGCAGAATGTTACAATTTATGGAATTTTACTGTGGTTTGAATCCCTTACCATTTGCAAGTAACAGGAGAAATATTATTTTTGATTACAGAAATATGTGCATGTAGCAGTACTGAAAAAGATAAAAAAATTAAAATGGTGTTCAAAACTATATTTAACATACCACTGTGTTCTGTTTTATTTTACTAAATTTTTTAAACCTATATTTTTCTTTAGATATTATCAACAAGGATTGGACCTTGTAGTTCATAGACCAGAACTCATCGTTTTGTTCAATATGGATGAACAAATTCACAACTTGAAACCAACGTAAGTTTTTTTATGCTAGTCTAAGAAACTCAATAATTTGGTGCATGTACCTTGATTGCATAGTCCTGAAATGTGATTTTCATTGTTGAAACATAAACACACACTAATTTAAATATTCTTCAGCTTGGAAATGGAAATGAAGGTTTAACAAATTGTGGCTTCACAAAGATTGTAGTTTTATTCAGCCTCAGAGCTATTCAGATGTTTGACTTACAGTCAGTATACAGTTTCAGTACAGTTTTAGTGTGTTATTATAAGGGATTTGTACTTTTCAGATCCAAAACCCCAACATCTGCTATGATCCAGAAGTGTGACTCACAAACACAGACAGACACTCACCCTGTGGAGCACCAGCTAGATCCCTCGTACTCTTGGAACATCTGGGACTACAAGAGACAAGCTGTACAACTGGTCAGTCACTAACAATAACACTACTTACAACCATTAGCTATTAAGCTATATACCATCAATGTTCAAGTCAGATATTCTATCTTAGAGTTTCAAAGCTAAAATAATATTTTTTTCCGAAAGCTGAGATCTTGTGTCAATTGAAATATTTGGATCACTTGAAAAATATTAGGCATACTCACCTTATAAATGCTATCAAACAACTTGTCAAACTGAGTCCTATCCCAATGCTTTCTAGTCACATTATTAAAGAGTTTGTGTTGCATAGGTCAGATCCAAAAAATAAATTTCTTTGGATTAGACTAAAACTTATCTGTGTTTGTTTTTTTAACAGTCAGAATAGACAAAAGTCAGAATATTCATTGTCCCTGACGGCATTTTCAACCAACAAAGGGTAGAGTTGGGAAGAGAGAGTCTTCATGTCACAATTCAAATCCCCATTAGGACCCCTGAAGACTCTCTTTCCCACTCAACCCATTCTTGGTGAAATCTTCAAAATTTTGTGTACAGTCGACGACAGTATTTTGATTTATTTTTATTTTTGTTTGTGCCGGAATGTACTCTATATTACTTCCTTGACCATATTAAATTAATCAGATAGTTTTATCTTCTTTTATGTTTTAAGACACAAAATATAATTCTTTGAAGTAACACTGAGATGCTATGAAAATTTAGCTACAGTAGACTCCCTCTTATCCGGACTCCTCGGGACCGAGGCTTGTCCGGATAACGGTTTTTCTGGTTAAACCGACATTCTCAAAAACTCGTTAAAACAGACCGTTTAAATGCATATCGTATACATTATTTGACTTAAATTTAGGAGAGCATTGTATTTAGACACGTGATCACTGGTCTCAAATCTTTCCCACGAGAACAGTCGTTTCAGTACCACCCACTTCCTACAGATCTAGTCCAGTTAAACCGATGTGCTGATAAAAATTGTCCTGTTAGAGAGATGTCATTTTCCACCGAGTGTAGTCTTGGTGAACGGATGTCCGGTCAAAAGGTGTCTGGATAAGAGGGAGTCTACTGTATATGGGTACAAATTACTTGTTAATCTTTGTCCCAGTATCAGTTACTTATATAAAAGTGATTTTGTTACATAGCTTATCAAAAGGCTATAATATAACTTTTCTTGATTTCTTGGATTTCAATTTCTAAACATAAAAAGTGCAACCAAGCAAGAGTAAATTGTGTATAGCTCAAAGCAAACTTATGAAACATAATAGGGGGTACCCGAAAATACCGGAATAGCATTGCCCTGGACAGAGCTTACATAGTACGTGTTTCAGCCTGTAGGCGTGTATAGCACAACTCATTGCCAGTTCAGTGAGTGGTTGTTTTGGTCTGTAGTGGCCGTTTTTGTTGGCCCAATTTTTTCTAGTGATTTGTTTTTTTGCAATGGCAAGTAAAAAAGTGAACAACTAGCACTAGCATGTGTCAAGTTTTGTTTTCTATTGGGTAAAAATGCTGATGAAACTGTTTAAAGGTTGAAAACAGCTTAAAAAGTTGAAATTTACGACCCAGAAACATAGCAACTCAATGGAAAATGCTGTTAGGTCAAATTAAACATAAAAACAATGCTGAATTGTTTTTCCGATGCCAAAGGCATTATTCACTTGAAGATTGTTCTCCAAGGTTATACCATGAATAAGACCAAAATTTGTCTCTATTGAAAATTCTATTGAAGTTTTACAATGATTGCACAACAGTATTCAACAAAAATATAAAGATATTTGACATTTTTAACACTTTAACCTCCATTTACATTACTCTCCATTTGAAGCTTACTGGTCCCAACTGTTTTTCCATTTCTCAAAACAAATTTCTAAAGTCATATTTTGAGATGGCCGCCAGCTTGTCCCTCGTTTTTATGCATGGTTAAAAATGTCACATGGAGCCAGGTCAGGTGAATAAGAAGCGTGGGATAGCACAACCATCTCGTTTTTAGCCAAAAAACGAGTAAACATCAGTGGATGTGTGTGCAGGTGCATTGTCATGGTAGAAGAACCAGTCTCCTTTCTGCCACAGATCAAGTCTTTAACCCTTAGAGTGCCAGGCGAGAAATAAAAGTAAAGCTCAAAAAATGCCGATGATTTTTCCCGAAGGTCACGCTAAAAATGCCGAGCGCGATCTGGCGATTTTTAGGTTAAAATTTCGTAAAAATCGAATTTTTGATATTTCGACCAACGAAAATCGATGTATCGCATCTAGTAACTTTCGACTCAATGTTAATATATGGGTTAAAAGAATCCGAGTATCCATTCGGTTGTTATGACAACTGTTCGATCATTACGAAACGTCCGGTCAGCCGGACGTTGGCACTTTTGGCTCGTTCTAAAAACGTCCGGTCGGCCGGACGTCGGCACTTTTGGCTCGTTTTAAAAACGTCCGGTTCCCCGGACGTTGGCACTCAAAGGGTTAAAAAAATTTGTACACCCTTGTTTTATATTTTAAAAATTAAAATATTTTCTTGGGATTCAATTTCTGTAAACCTAAATTAGTACGAATGGCAGTAATTGTTGTGTGCATTTAGGCTGATATCTGCAAGTCAGCGACCCGCAGCTGTCAGACAGATCACAGCCACAAGAGGCTGCATATCGCAGTACAAGCCAAGCCTTCTCGCAGCACTGGTGTGCAGCATGACAGACACACAGCTACCAACACTCCCGCAGTACGCAGCTACATAGTGGGACTGCGGGGTACTTGGCTGAGAGACCAGTTCATGTCCAACAATATGTGGACACACCTGCCACGCTGTCCACAAACTTGATTTGCTTTCAAAAAACTGATTCTTAATATGCAATAAATTTTAGTAAAAAAAATTGTGATAAAGCTTTTTTTTATTTTATTTTCCTCTTTTGGAGTCTGAACCATTAATTTTTGGAACTTAAGTATACATTCAAATATCCAATCTATATGAACTAGCTATGGCCAATATTTGACTAAAAAGAACATAGCTGAAAGAGCCATTCACAGAGTCAGCTTTAGCTAAAGCCACTTTGTTAATTTTTAATGTATTTCTACACCTTTAGCATTTTATAAGGTTTTTTTGTTTTTTTTCATGTTACCATCGTTGATATTATTTAGCTAGACCTCACCACTACACTATAATTGACAGCCCAATGACAAATGGCAGTCCTCTAACGATCCTGCTTGCAATCAAACCAAGCACCCTTCAGATTTGAAGGCAACCACCATAACCACTCAGTTTCCCAGACAATTTTAGTGAGATATTTTTTTCATTCCCTCAGAGAGTGTTAGAAGTAAAGTTATCAGACTCATTAAACCATTTACCATGGACCATCTAGAACCTAATAAAAAAAACATAGTTAAATGAGCTTGTGGCAGATTGTGTTACTGTTGAAATCATGTGTACCCTCAGTTTTGGAGTCTGTGATGGATGTTAAGACATAAAACTTGCTATATTAATTATTTTACTATTAGTTGTCCTTTTAGTTTGGCTCAGTTAAAAACTTGGCTTTGACAGTAATCAGTAATTTATATCAGATCTCACTGTCTGTGGCTTTCAATAACTCTCATTTGTTTCTAAAACATTTGTAACTTTAACATGAGAATGGAATGTCTGTTTCTATCCACTGTCAAAGCTGATACTAAATCTTTGATTATTGATAAAACTTCAGTACCCCTTCCTTGTTTAACTGAAACCAGGGTTAATCATAACCATAATTAAAAATTTAAATAAATTGGAAGATTTATCTTATACCGTGATCAAGATTAAGTTCAGAATATGCCTGCCAATTATTTTATGAATGGATTTTGTGTATATGCTGTTGTAGATAAGATAAAAATGGAAGTAATTTATACAATGTAAAAACTAAAAATCTACCATTGTATATATCTTTGAACCGAAATAGTGTTTGTATTCCAACTGATGATTACTGAAAAAAGCTATTTAAAATCACCTCTCCCCTTTATTTTGTTTGTTTAATTAAATGTGTTGTCTTAATTAAATGCCTGATGGGCTTTCGTTTGAACAATATCAGAAGTATGTAAATGGTCATCAATTTTTAGGTTGTATTTCTTTGGATAGTCCTTCACCTCTGGAACGATAATTTAAAAATCAAAATTAATAAAAATATATTTTATTTTATTTTTTTTTTTACTTGTACATAGATATATATATATAGATATATTTTTATCTTTCCACATAGCTATGGACTTTGGAGAACCACTCAAACTTAGGTGTGAGGTGTTTGGGTTTTTGGGGTCAAGGAAATCTGAAGTTTTGCAGTCACATTAATAATAATTGTTGTAATCTATTTCAACTATCTAGAGATCTTCAAAATGTTCAAATTGTTATGAATAGTAAATAGTATGTATTTCACAAAAAATCTTGTGCCAGAGTTTTTTTATCTATACAGGGGTAAGCCTGCCGTTCTAAATGATGCTATAACAGTATATCATCATAATGCATCCGCAGAATCCAAGTATGATAACCCTAAACTATAATTTACCCATAAGTATTACTGAATATTTATATGACAGAATACTCTTTGGGAAGGTTAGTAAAATTAATAAAATTAAATTTTATATTACTTGTAAAATGGTTCAATTTTAATTCCTGAACATTGATAGAAAGTCAGTCTAAAAACATATCAAGTATAGAAAACTTGAGATTAGAAGCTTAGATTAGATTATGATTATACAAATGGTAAAGTAGAAGATAAAACCTAAGTGGAGCTACTTCTTTGGCTATTGCTCTTTGACAACTACTGGAATTGTAAGTACATAGAATATTGTAATATAACTAACATAATAACTTTTCAAATTGTAAAAATACTGTAATATTTAACACTTATACCAAAACCCCGGTCTGACAGACCCACGGGAATTTTCACAAACGCATGTTGGTAACACTGTTTACTTGGGGAATTCCATTCCCCCAATACCTTCCCCCATTTTCCTCCCCTACATGTTGATCTATTGTTTGTTCATTTTTCGTGGGTGCCGTGACCTTGACAGGTTGTCTGTTCATAACATGCCTGGCTCAGAAGCCCAGCATTGGTGTATTTTAAAGCGGGGTCTCACAGGTCCAGGATTTCGGTTTGTGTGTTTCTAAGCGGGGTGAAGTTAAAAATTATAATTCCTTTTGTGTTCAACTAAAAAGTTGTGGTTTTTAGAATATTTGCAAAGAATTAAGGTAGGTAGGGCCTACTAACTAAATCAAAATCAAGATCTTTGATTTTTTTTTTCCTGACTGATACTTTCAATGCCATGCATTGAATCTATGTTTAGATTTGAACTAGCTCGCTCTGTTAGGATGGGAGGTCATTGGAGATTTTTAATTTATAGACTATATCCTTGTATGGCAATTAGAAATTAACAGTACAACATTCAGTATAAAAAAAAAAACAATTTTTGAAATACAGGAGAACCCTATTGAAAGGATCGAGAACATCTTCCTCGGTAATAGCAACATCGTGAACATTGTCTGAGGCAAAAGCAAGAACATTTTCTGTGATTATAGATAAATCATGAACATATTTCCCTTTGACAGATCCATTCGGACAATTTTTGACCCGATGCAATCGGAAGATATCTAGGATTTGCAGACCCCTAGTAAAAAGGTACACTTAGTGACCAAGAATAATCTCCGGGACAGCAGTATGCCTACCCAGGTCGCTGCAAAGAAAAATGTGTGAATTTTTCTCAGGTGTTATGTGGCCACCCTGTTTTTTCCAAACAAATTTTTTTACCAAACCCTGATAAGATTTTGGATTTATGGCTTTTGGTTTTGGGAAGTTTTACAATATTAAAATACCCCTACCACAGCAAATCTGCAGACACAGCAAATTTCAATTTGTATCATTGGATTTTTATTAAAATATTTCCATAAACAAGGTTATATCAATTACTCATTTAAATTACATTTGATTTAATGAGTGCTTAGGTTTTGGTGTTATGGGGAAGGTAAAGTGTGTTTTATGACCAAATGTTTATAGTATAGGATTAAATCAATAAGTTTGGCAAATTTAATCAACTAAAATAAAATTTAGTCTTACAGTTTATTGGAGTTTGCTCTGTTACCTTTAATTGTACGATAACACTTCAATCTCCTCAATGCTTTACACGATAGCTGCAATAAAAAAAGGAATATCCATGTTTTTTGGAACATAAAAAAAACTATTTTTTGAAAATTGTTTATCTCCATAATACTATGATCCCATAGCCCAATATTGTTTGTTTACAAACTCAATCAAGTTTATCCCGCCTTACACATTCAAGCCAAATTTCATCAAAACCAGACCAAAATTATTCAAGTCAAGTTAACAGACACACAAACAAATACATAAATAAAAAAGGATATCGGTCGAGGATCTAGGTCTTACCTCTAAGGCTTACACCAATAGCTGTTTCCTTATACAGTAGAGAAATTCTCTAAAAAGACAATCATACTAAATTGTGTTTTTTCCAGAATCAAAGAGATAGTGATGGCTTTGTTACTACAAATATCACTGCTACTGTTGGCAAGTATAACTGGAGCAGTGTTGAGAAGAGACAGGTATGGACGACTGGGTACATTGACCATCACTGATGACAAACCTCTACCTCCAGACCAATGGTTCACTCAGCTATTGGACCACTCTGACCCAACCAACAACAACACCTGGCAGCAGGTATCCTGAGTACCACATAATAATATGTCTAATTTTAGCTATACTGTGAGGCACTGTTGAGGAGATGAGACAGGTTCATTAAACATCACTGGGGACTGGAGACAAACCTGCTCTACTTCCAGACCAGTCCAATTGCCTGGGTACTCCAGTTCTTTAGCTGTCCACACTGATTCTCCTACAATAGTTATTATACATTAGTTATTGTTATTATTAGATTTAGAATTATCTTTAAATTGATCCTCCTCTCTGTTCTTGCAGTTTTCTCTACTTCTCCTGTCTTCTGGTAGCTCATTATGTCTCATACGCAGCAGCTTCTATGTCCTCTTAATGCAGCCAATTTTTCTTTAGGACGTAGACTAACCCTCGGTATCAGATGGCTTACTTCTATAGTCAGGGTTAGGGTTTCTACATTCCTCTTCTGGCGAATTCACGGTCAAGAGAGGCAGCTAATTTCATCACTGGGGACTTATATTTGATACTAGGGCTCAACCCGCTCAGGCGCATACCCCACCGTTAAAGTCTACCGGCTGGGTCAAGGGCAACAACAGGATTCTCCCAAGGATGTGCCTTAAGTAGGGGTTCAAGGTCCTTTGAGTTTGGGAGGAAAGTAATCTGTACCGGGCACTTGGAAAAAGTACTGGGCGTTTTCCCCTCAGAACCGTCCCTGAGTATTTTTCCCTCAGGCATTTTGCTAAGCATTTTTTCTGGTGATTGGTGTTTGTACTTATTGTTACAAGTTAACAATAAGTAAAAAAATTTACATAATAATAATTATACATTTTCTGTCATTAATGAGTAGGCTATATTGATACTTAAGCATTTGGCTTGTCTGCCACAAAGTTGAGTAAAGGACTAGGTTTATCACCATATAGTGAAGCATGGTAATTTGCTTTTTTAAAATTAAATTTACGCTGTAGCAGAGATGTTGGTTGAAGAGAAGCAGTAGTGCTTTAGTATGTAATAAGAGGAGTCTTGTATTCATCTGATATCAGTTACCACAATGAAGTAAACATAAGAGGAGTAAACATTGCTCATTTTGTAGTGGAATATTTTTTATCTTGAGCTTGATTTTTGCTGTGCAACCTGCTTTTTGTATGCAATTCACTGTTCCCATGTTAACATGTTCTTGGATAGTTGATTATAAATACAAGGAGCGGCAAAATGATCTGACGGTTTTCTTTGCCGCCCTGTCGAGCGAATGAGTGGCGTAGGGTGGTGGGAATAGGGGCGTTACAAAGCCAACATGTGAACATTTTTAGTAGCCATGGAGCCGTGGGATAGCTGAGAAACATGTATTTGTAGTAGAAGTGTTTTTAAAAGTGGAAATTCCTGTGTAGCTGTTCAGTACACTTTTCAATGTGGGTCCAAGGGGAAAAGTCCCAACTCCAAAAAAACCATTTTGCTGTGAGTAGGTAACTTTAGAGCTACTAGTATAGCATTGAAAAAAGTCAACAGGCTGTCCAATGTCAGCTCGGACACCAGAGAGCGCCGAGAGAGTGAGATACGCTGTAGAAGTTAGTCCTCAGCAGCCTAAACGTAAATAAGCTGCAGCTCTGCACTTGTCTGGCCGCTCAGTAGAAGAGTATTACAATACCATCTGCATTTTCATTCATACAAAATGGCAATCGTGCAACTGCAACAGTTGAAGCACAGTGGTTATGCAAAGCGCATCTCTTTTTCAGAACAAGTAGTGATGACAAAGTTGTCATTATGAGTGACGAATCACACTTTCAATCACGCCACATAGTCTTTCTCACTTTCTGTCAAATAAAGAAGTGTTATATTGATTAACAATTTTTATCTTAGGAATAAAATGTTACCAACTGAATTATTTGTAAATACAATACAAAAACAATCTCCAGATGATCTTAATAATAACTAAATAAATATTAAAGAACAACAAACATATGACATCTTCTCTTCCTTTTTTTTAAAGACATGTTCTTCTTGGTGGATTTATTTGTCTACCAAATGAGGAAAAACAATTAGGCTCAGTTCCAGGGTCATCAGATGTTTTGGGTTGTAGTTGTCTTAGCATTATCCCGTTGCGACGTAACATGCCTTCGTTTGTCTTAACTGTGTATGATCTTGGAGCTACTTTATTAACTATCTTCCCATCTTCTCTCTTATCAGGAATATACACGTTGCATCCAATAGTGAATTGCTTTTCATCTCTCACTCCATGCCGTTTATTGAAGTAATCTGCTTGAGTTGCTCTATATAGTTTGTCCAATTCTCTAAATGTCTTGTGATCTACCATTTTAGGCTTGAGATCTTTCGTCAATGACGGTAGTCGGGTTCTTAGTCTTCTTCCCATCAACAATTCCGAAGGGCTGTACCCTGATGGACCTGGTGTTGACCTGTACTCCAGTAATGCAAGAGTGGGGTCTTTGTTCTTTGTAAGCATCTTTTTAAGCGTTTGGACTGCTCTTTCAGCTTCACCGTTTGCCTGATGGTGTAAGGGACTACAACAAATAGTTTTAAACCCAAAATCGGCTGCAAAGGCTCTCCATTCTGAGCTTGTAAACTGTGAGCCAGAATCAGAAATTACGATTTCAGGGATCCCATGTCGAGCAAAACAGGCTTTCATCTTCTTGATTAGTTCATCTACAGTCATTGTGGACACAATCATTTCCAAGTACCGTGAATAATAGTCCACAACAGCCAAGTATTTGCCTTTCACAAAGTCAAAGTAATCAACTGCTATTCTTTGCCATGGATAGTCAGGAGTGTCTGATTGAATCATTTTTTCTGACTTTTGGTTTTGGTGTTTAGCACAAGTGTCACAATTTTCAATCAAGTTATGTATCTCTGTTGTAATTCCTGGCCAAAACACAGATTGTTTCGCTCGGAGGACTGTGCGTGTAGACCCGAAATGACCATCGTGCAGTTTATTAATGATATCTTTTCTAAGTTCAAATGGGATAATAATTCTTTCTTTATAACATATCAAGTCTTCTATTATAGATAGGTCGTCTTTAAAGGTATACCACTTTCTCATACTCTCTGGCACATCCTTCTTATATTTAGGCCATCCATTTTCTGTGTATTTCACCAACATCTGACATTCTTCACACAGGATCTGGGCATTCTTTATTTGTTCCAATCTTGACTGTGTTGCTGGAAAGTTTAAAGATATTACTTAATGTGTGCCTCTACCTCTTTTGTGAACTCATCTGTAGAATCTGGGATCGGCGCTCGGCTTAATGTGTCTGCTGTAAACATTTCTTTTCCGGGAATGTGTTCGATGGAGTAGTCAAATTTCATCAATCGCATTTTGAATCTCTGAATCCTAGCTGGTATTGTGTCTAGGTCTTTGCTTCCAAGGAGCGAAACTAATGGTTTGTGGTCTGTTAGGATTCTAAACTTTTTTCCGACTAAAAACTTAGAAAACTTTTCTGCGGCCCATGCACATGCAAGAGCTTCCTTTTCTATCTGGGCATATCGTCTTTCACAGTCTTGTAAGGTCCTTGAAGCAAACATCACTACTTTGGGAGATTTATCTTCAACCTGAAGTAACATTGCACCCAATCCATATGCTGATGAATCGGCTATAACAATAGCTTCAGCATTTACATCATACTTAGTTAAAGATATTGATTCATTGACGGTCTGTATAATGTCTGAAAGGGCTTCTTGATGTTGACTTGTCCAACAAAATTGTCTATTCTTTCTAGTAAGCTCACGGAATGATTCAGTTTTATCAGCTAAGTTTGGAATGAACTTGTTCAGTTGATTCAACATACCATTTAATCGTCGAACTCCCGCAATATCTTTAGGAGGGGGAAGTTCCTCGAGTGCTCGTATACGATCAGGATCGACCTTGATACCATCAAAGTCGATCAGGTTTCCAAGAAACTTCACAGATGTTTGGGAAATAGAACATTTTTCTTTGTTCAGTACAACCTTTGCTTTTTTTAAGCGATCTAATACTTGAGTGAGCCGGTAATCATCCTCCTCTTGTGTTCGGCCATGTATAAGTATGTCATCCATGTGACATAATACCCCATCGATACCATTTAAAAGTTTAAACATCTGTGTAGTGAAAAACTCTGGTGCGCTTGTAATGCCAAAGGGTAATCTCTTGAAATAAAATCTTCCGAATGGAGTAATAAAAGAAGTTAGTTTAGCTGTGTCAGGTGATATTTTTATCTGCCAAAACCCTGACTGGGCATCTAGTTTTGAAAATATTTTAGAGCGCCCAATTTGCCCTAGTGTTTCTTCTACATATGGTAGTATTATCTTTGGCCGTTTAACATTCCTATTAAGTTCAGTGTAATCAACACACAAACGTAGACTACCATTGGGCTTGAGTACTGGTACTATTGGTGCACACCAGTCAGTTGGAGACTCTACTTTTTCTATCACTCCTAAGTCCAACATTCTGTTCAATTCTGTCTCCACTTTTGAACGTAAAGGAATTGATATGTTTCTTGGAGCTCGAACCGAGTGCGGTTGAGCGTTTTCGTTCAATTCAATCTTATATTCTCCTGGAATGCTACCCAGACCAATGAAAAGCTCAGGGTGGCTAGTTAATACAGAGTCTAAGGTAATTGAGTTAAGTCCTGCAGTATCAGGTTTTCTGAGGGTTATGAGATTTAAAGATTTAATCGCAGGAATTCCAAGTAAAGGTTCATTTAATCCTGCAACAACATACACCTTTTCTTTTACCATTTTCCCATCGTAAGCTATGTCTGCTATAAACATACCTCTTACATCTAGTTCCCTCTGATCAGCATTCCTAAGTATACGGTCAGATTTCATAAGTTTTGCATGAATTACATTTGAAGGAATGGCTGTAACTTCTGCGCCTGAATCAAGTTTCGCTTTAACTAACTGGTTATTGATAAATATTTCTACATACCAAGAACTGGAGTCATCGCATGAAGCATTCACAGGTCCTAAATATGCTACTGAAGCTTCGGTGTTGTCAGGCTTGTCCAAACGTCTTATTTCGTTGAGTCTCTTCGTGCTGTCCGTTGTTTTAGTCTCTAATAATCTGCTTCTGCAATGTTTGGCAAAGTGACCGATTTTTTGGCAGTAATGGCATGCTAAATATTTAGCAGGGCATAAGTGCCTGGGGTGCATTGGACCTCCACAGTTCCAACAACATTCTTTCCTAGCTGTCTTTAAATCATGGGTTTTGTTAAATCTTGCACTTTGTTTTTGGTCTGATTTGATTCGGTCAACTTCTGCATGTTTTCCTTGGCATATCATTTCTAGTTCAGCTGCTTGTTTGCTGATAGACTCTTTTTGTTTGCATTTTTGAACTGCTTTTTCCAATGTAAGATTTGAATCTTCTTGTAGTTGGGCCGATAAACGTTTATCAGTTATACCCACTACAATTCTATCACGTATTAGTTCTGCTTTAAGGTTCTTGAATGAACAGTGTTCGGCCATTGAGCTTATGTCTGCCAGAAATGTATCAAATAATTCATCTGGTTGTTGTGATCTTGAATTAAACTTTGCTCGTTCGTATATGACATTTCTTTTGCCAGTAAATATGTTGTCAAAGGCTTCTGTTACCGATTCATATGAGGCTTTGTCATCTTCTGAGAGGTGTGCTGTTGATAAGATATCCTCAGAATCAGGCCCCATACAGTAAATCAAGCAGCTTACTTGTTTTACTTGAGGTTCATTGTCCAGTCCTGATGCAATTCTATACCTTTCAAATCGCTTAAACCACTTTTCCCATAATTCTGGATATTTTGAATCAAAAGGTTTAGGAGGTTGAAACATGACTGATGTAGTCCTTGCTGCTGTCTTGGTTCTAGAACATTATGTGTTTCTGATGATTGATTTGATTTGTTTCCTCTGATTGATAATCTATTGTTTTTTGGCATTTAAAAAAAAAAAACTAAACCGCTGCCACCATGTCAAATAAAGAAGTGTTATATTGATTAACAATTTTTATCTTAGGAATAAAATGTTACCAACTGAATTATTTGTAAATACAATACAAAAACAATCTCCAGATGATCTTAATAATAACTAAATAAATATTAAAGAACAACAAACATATGACACTTTCTTTAGTTTCACACCACGTAGTCAGATTTTAGTTTCAATGCTGAACTAGTAGCTCTAAAGTTACCCACCTACAGCAAAATGGTGTTTCGAGTTGGGACTTTTCTTCATTGACCCACATTGAAACGTGTACTGAACAGCTACACAGGAATTGCCACTTTTAAAAACACTTCTACTACAAAGTCATGGTGCTCAGCTGCCCCACGGCTCCGTGGCTACTAAAAATGTTCACACGTTGGCTTTGTAACGCCTCTGTTCCCACCACCCTACGCCAATCACTCACTTGACAGGGCAGCAAAGAAAACCGTCAGATCATTTTGCCGTTCCCTGTAGAAGTAAAGCTAAACTCTTGATCCCTAGCAAGAACTTTTATATGACCTTTCCAGAGATACCAGTCTTTGTCAGACTACTATGTGACTGGAGGCCCAGTGTTTATTATGCTGGGAGGAGAGGGGGAAGCAACTCCCGTGTGGCTTGTAAAGGGCAACTGGGTGAACTATGCCAAGAAGTACAAGGCCTTGATGTTTCAATTGGAACATAGGTTCTATGGGAAGAGCCATCCTACGAGGTATGCATTAATTATTATTATTAAAGAAGATACCTGCTCTATCCATTAACAATATAACATAGTAATGTTAATTGTTCGTGCTATATTCTTAAGTCATGGTGATTCAAAGGTAATCAGTTCAATAGTAAAAAAATATTCTGAGGGTTCAAGACCTGGCTCAACTATCTCTGATCACAGCTTTCACAGTAAATTATACTACTTAATGAAATGTATTTTTACATAACATTTCTGGTGGTATAAGAGGCCACTGTAAATTTTCTTGAAAATTAATACTACACAGTGTATATGCAACTTTCAAGGTAATTATTATGCAACTAGCAGTGTTTTTTTTCATTTTCAGTGACCTGAGTGTGGCTAACCTGCGCTACCTGACCAGTGAGCAGGCGTTGGCAGATGCTGCCTACTTCATACAGGAGATTACTGTTCAGTATAGCCTTCCCACAGGCACCAGGTGGATAGTGTTTGGTGGCTCCTACTCTGGCAACCTGGCTGCGTGGCTTAGATACAAGTATCCTCATCTGGTACACGGTGCAATGTCTGCTAGTGGACCTGTCCTGGCCAAGACTGACTTTACTGGTTACTTTTGTTTATGCATTTTAAGAAAGGATTGCAGTTAGCTTACCTTGGAAAAAGTACACCAAATAGTACCTGCGGAAATCACACAATTTTTGGGGAACTTTGTTGGGCATACACACTAAAAGCATTATTTCCTCCATTCAGTAAGTGCTAGGGCGATCACAGCATTCGGTGCATGGCGGTAAGCCACCTTCTTTGCTGGGATGATTTATCCTATTCTATTTATCAAGGTGTATTAAAATGTTTTTTTATCATCTAAAATTAGTTCACATTGATAAATATACCGTACATAATAAATATCTTTAATTTAGCAAAATAACTTCAATCCTAGCTATAAGCTCAGTCTCTCCTGGTACTAGAGAAAGAATGTTGGACAAAAACAAATGTCTATACTATACTGTACGCTGTACACTAATGTCTATACTATACTGTACACTAACACATAGTTTTTACTATACACCAAACGAGAGAGTTGTAATTTTGTTCAAAACCCATTGTCTAAATTTTGTTTTATAATTTTAATTTGTAACCTTTTATACCACCCATTTTTCTTTAGACAGCTGTGCATGCAATTAGAGGTTTAGTGAGTAATCTGATAGTTCAAAGCCTCTACACAATAGAATGGGTTTTCATTACAAGCTTAGCAGAACCAAGATAGAAAAGTTAAATGCCTTAATAGTTTTGTTATTATAAAGTAATTAAATAAGTAAACAATGTTAATTCAAGCCTAATGTTTGCTTAATTCTGTGATATTACTTAGTTCCCGCAGGTACTGAATAAAATTTATCTGAATTGTTTAGAATACATGGATGTCGTCACACAATCACTCTCTACCTATGGAGAAAATTGTCCAAAAGCAATTAAAAGCGCTAATCGTCTTATAAACAAAAACTTGAAAAATAAAAAAGGCAAAAAAACAATTTTCAAGCAGTTCAGGTAAGTGTTTTACGAGATAGTAGGATATTAATGTAATAGTGTCCCGCTAATTGGAACCACCCTATATCAAAAACCCACATATTCCAAAATAGATTTAAGAAATTATTGTTATTATTTTTAAGACCTAAGTACGAAGCTGAAATACAGGGCCGTCGCGTGGTTTTTTGGCGCCCGGGGCGGGATGTTGCCAGGCGCCCACCCCCCCAACACACAATGAGTGATGATGTCGCTATCTTTGTTTTAATCCCCAAAAACAGACACCTAAAGGGATTGAATCACCTTACAAAAATATGAGTCAGGAATCTGGGATTGATTATTAGGGATAAATTACTTAAATTTTGTATGAAAATCTTTTTTAATTGATGATAACCAAATCCCTATTAATGTAAGAAAATGTTGAAATGTATAAAAAGTACTATACTGTATATGTTATTAATTAATACAGAGCAAATTGAAATTAATGCAATGTATGCAAAACCTCAAACCAAACCTACTCTGAATAGAATTTTTATACAGAATAAAAGAAAACCACGTTATCACATTTAGATATGAGATCCTGAACATTAAATGTAAACTAGAGAACCTGGCACACGAAATCGTGCGCAATTTAGACAAAGGAGAAGAAGGATTTGTATTGATTTTTTTTATTTGGCGTTATCTCGTTTCTTGGTTTTGTTGCTAAAGCTGGTGACGGTAAAAGGCCTAATTGAGTTTGCAGTTTACCTGCCGTTTTTGCAGTTTCTTTTGTGAAAGTCAGTAAAGATTCTCTTTTGATTAATTGATGATAACCTAAATAATAAGCCAAACCCGTGTAACTGCTGTACTGTCAGTTCACTTTAAAATTCACTGAACCCTAATAATGTGTTTTGCAGTGAAACGCTAATTATTGTAAAAAAAAACAGTGTATATTTTTATCTCTTCAAATCTTTGTCATGTTTCCATTAATTTCAATTTGAGTATAACCAGCTGTTTCAAATATTAGTGTAAATTTCAAAGTATTCATCTGTTCAAATGAAAACAAACATTTTCTCCATAAGGATAACATGGGAACTTTGAAGGCCACTGGGGCAGAGCCCTGATGGAATTTCAAAGATTTTTTGATAGATGGCAAATCTACGTGCCAAACCCTATCCAACCACACCTCAAACTTGGTAAACCGATGCATAGCAGCTTCAAAACAATTATGACAAAAATATGCCTAGCGTATTAAATATATAGATAACTCATCAAACTAAGCTGGCAGCTCAGCTGAGACTGCCGTAGGAGAAAGGAGTGATTGGGGTAGGGGTGGTTCCCAAGGTCGACCGTCGGCCGGTCGGGCGAAATAAAAATAGAATACGGCAGCTACGTGTACAGAGCAACACCGCGAACCGCGACATTGCAATATTAAGATAATTAAGACATTGCAATATAAAGATAATTAAGTTAGGACAGAGCCTTCAACTCCACAGTGGAGTTGATTGTTTAGGCTATTATTACTAAATTTAATTCAATACTATATTGATATTTAATTTGGAAAACATTGCAAACTATAAAGTGATTGGTATAAAATAATATGCATTTGTTCAATAAAGGCATACAACGTAATATTCAACACTCAGTTACACACACGAATAATAGAACTAGTATTCGTGGCTATACATAACTTTCCAAAATACGTTATGTGCATCTAACTTTTTTTTAATTTTGTTGCATTACTTTTGCCGCGGCGCCCCCCTGACCGCGGCGCCCAGGCGGTCGCCCTGGTCGCCCCACCCACGCGACGGCCCTGCTGAAATATAACTGAAGAAAATCTTCTGCAGTCAAGGCAAAATCGTGAACCTATTCCACAGACTCAGAGACTTCATAATTGACTCCCGCAATTCCCGTAAAGCTGTGAAGATTACCCGTTCGGGGGCAAAATTTAGACTGTGCATCTTCCCTGAATCTTTCTGCAATCACGAATACAAAAGCTCTGCTTGGGCAATTTATGAAAAAAATTAATATCTTCCCACTGGTTTCTCGGAAAGACAAACATTTTATGTATATGGTTGATGGGTGTGTGATATTTAGTATTGTTAAAAGATAATTGGTACTTTTGAATTAATATAAGGCTAGAGCATATTTTTCTTGTTTAAGCAGATCACAATATAGTAAATTATCTACATTGATATTGTTTCTATTTTTTTCTTCATTAGTACTACAACTTATAATGAAGTAGTACTTTATAACCTCACAGGTACTGGTTTGGTATGCTACTTCAATGTAAGTGATGTTGCAGATGAATTACATAATTTAAAACATATACCGTAGATCGGGGTGACTTTGTGCCAGGTGTGGTGAAATTGTGACACACTATTTATTTTTTTATAAATATATTTCCTTCATAAAAATTTTGAAACATTGATAAATTTGTTCTTGAATAGTGCACAAACAGTTACCAGTGACTTCTTTGAATTTAACATTTAAGCTATCGCCCAAATTGAGCAAAATGTGCAAAAGTTGTCACAAAGTCACCCCAATCTACGTTATATATGTGTTTTAATTTAGGTGTTCACGTAATAGGGCTGCTGATATATTAAATATTTAAGTAAATAAGTACAACTGAGCACCCTGAATATTATATTTTTTTTAAAGAAGTGACATGTTTTGGACATATATACATAATAAATAAATATAAATTATATTTATTTACAAACAAACAATATAAACAACAGTTAAGTATTTAATGTATTTGAAGTTTAAATACCCCCGCCGCAGCAAACCTGCAGACTAAGCGAATTTCCATTTGACTGATTGGATTTACACTGAAATGTCTACTTAAAAATATAACATTTATTCTTGATTTAAATAGAATTAGTTTAACAAGTACTTAGGTTTGCTGCATCAGGGAGGGTAAAACTTTTTTTTTTGTAAAATGTGAATAGGTAGTGAGAAATAAAAACATTATCCAAATTTGATCAAAATATGTTCACAAACAAGCAAACTACAACAGTTTACTTATTCTCCATAAGAATAACATGGGAATTTTAAATTTACAATTTTTTGGAATTTTCTCCGTAACTATTAGGCGCATGATAACGCTTCAATATACTAAATAATTTGTTTTTTTAAGCTCTACAAAATGGTTTGGAAAGAAATTGCTAAATTTTATGTTTTTTGGGTCAAAAATAGGAAAAACCTATTTTTACCCCATAAAACCCCCCGTAAACTCCCGTTCCCATGGTCCGATCATGCTGGATCGCGAACTCGTTCGAATAAACGTACGTTTACACGTTTGTACCAAATTTCATCCAAATCGGATCATTTTTGCTCGAGTTATCGTGCTGACGGACACATATATATATATATATATATATAAATATATAAATATATAAATATATATATATATATATGGCCTCTAGGGACCTCAAAACGAAAAAAAAAATCGGTCCCGCGTCCAGGTCTTACCATGAGTACTACGGTAATAGCTTATTCCCTATATGAGAAATTCGCTAAAATGGACTTATGTCCGTAACATGTCACTTCTAAAAAAGAAAATTAATATTCAGGGTGCTCAGTTGTACTTGTTTATTTAAATATTTAATATATATATATTCTGTGCATTACCATAATACCAATTAATTAGAATGATCATATCTGCACAACTGACTCTCCGGGAGAAGATAAACTATAAAAGGTGAACATAAGGTCTCACGCAAAAGCTGAAAAATATTTATGTGAAGGAAAAAAGAACAAGCTAACTTGATAAATGTTGCCAGAAACTTGGAAGTTTATAATTGGCTGATTTAGAAATTTTGTTTTCTAGGTTGTGTGACACAATAAATGTTACGAACCAGTTTGACATATACAGTTTGTTGGAGGCCATGGCTGACAACATTGCAGGGATTGTGCAGTACAACAAAGACAATAGAGCGTTCAGGTCATCTACTTGGAACATCACCATTGACACTGTCTGTGACATCATGGTTAACCAGAGTCTGGGCAACACTCAGGCCAGGTGGGTGAAGACTGGTTGGATGTATAGTATTGCAATCGACATATTATAATGGAATCAGTAGGATTTAACCTTCAAATAAGTTACCTACCGTATGTATTAACAAAGTTTGTCTGTAAATTATGGTCTATCTAAAATCCATAGTTGCAGCCAAGCTATCTAGTTGAAATCTAAGACCGTCTTGTTCTTTACTTCATTCACAACCAATCTGTCTGGTTCTTTCCTCTATGCTACAGTTTGTTTCATTATTGTAGCCAAAAATAATGCAAAGAAAAATCTACGCTCCAGTCAAGTATGAACTGTGTGTTCTGTGATTGTATGATCCAAGGCATCAACCTCCATTACCAGAGTTGCCATGGCCAGTTAACAGATTTGAATGGATTCAAGTTTTTGGACATAGAAAAAGAGAGGGAGGAGTAAGGAGTTGATGGTTAGACTGTTGCACAAGGTTTGCGTCATATAGGATAGATGGTGTTCATCAGTCTCGTTTGGGGCAGTGACAAAACTATGGGAATTTGGCATGCAAATCTTGGTGTGACTAAAACACAAGTTCAGTTCACTATAGAAATAAAGGACAGGGGTAAATCCTGGTAATCTGAAACAGACCGATCAGCAAGCAACTTTATTGAGGGTTTCTCAACTTAAATCACTGTCTTGATTGAAACTAATGACTAACAGCTCCCGGCATTGTTGTGCAAACCTGTACAAGTGTACAGCCTTCTGCAAACTCTTAAGCTTCTTGTGCAGATTTTTTATGTCTAAACACTTTTCTGCATACACATCTGTCAACGGATTTCAATAGCAGTTAACCACCTACCCACAGAAACAAAATCACAAAATTTGATTCATACTCGGTGGGAGCATCTATTTTCCCTCTTGTTTTTGGCTACTATGAAAAGACTTATCTTCACCTTGGGTGTGGGAACCATAAGCTAGGACTGTAGTGGATGAAGTAAATGTTTTTTGGATAGGAGCAAAAAAAAAACAAAAAAAAGGAAATATCACAGCCCTGGTCGGATTTGAACTAGCCAGCCTGGCTGTGACCGGACCTCTTCATGGGCCTCTTACTTTACAGACAACCCTTGTATATTTTTAACAAATGTATAAAAAAAACTTTTCTTTTCTTTTAGATATGCTGCTGTGAACACATTGTTGCTAGATGCTTATGAAGAGAATTGTTTAGACTATAAGTATAACAACTACATACAAGAGTTAAAAAACATTTCTTGGGGCGGTATAGGTGGCTACTATGGAGGTCGGTATGAATGTTTCATAAATAAAATAAAACTGATACAAAAATAATCTATACTTCTTCAAAAATTTTTTTTAAATCAAGCACTGCTAGTTATAGAGTACTATAACATAAGTAAACCATTAAACATGATCAGAGTATACCTGTCATTTGTAACAAAATAAATTATTTGAAAGATACTCACAAAAGCTGAGTTCAGGTAATGCAAAAATGTTATCATAAAAGGATTTCCATAAATTTTAACTTTTCTTTAAAACTGTTCTTTATCCTCTTTCTAGTTTTGTTGCTACAGTACATTTGTTTTTACAAAAAAAATTCAAAAGCCTCAATGCTTAAAGAAGGTCTTAAAATTATTTTAGAGAAAAACAAAATTGTGTACTCTGAAACAAGGCCTTCAATAAAGTTTAAATTTTATATCTCCCTTAATACTGTTTTTAGATAGAAATTGTAAATACAAAAGTTGTTGGAAAGCTAATCAGAAATAAAACAAACAAAAATTCTACACGATAGTATACATAGTATTCGATTTATGATAAATTAAGTGAAACACTGCAATATCTATTTTTGGAGGGCTGGCAGGGGGGAAGCTTTGGGGGTGGAAGTGGGGACTTTAGGGAAATACACCTCTCATTGGTTCTATCAAAGATAATAATGGTTTAAATTGTGAAATTTTGAATGGTTTTCGATCAAAACAGCTGGCATGCTTGCTTAGGCCTTTATCGAAACTCTTTCTCATGCAGAAATTTCAAAATTTTAACCATTATTATCTTTGAAACGGTTAGGTTTATGAAAAAAAATCACAAGAATAAAATCGTCTTAAAATTACTTTTTCTACCAGAATACATCATAAAATACGGGGTGTTCCGTAAGAAAAATCAAAGTTGGCGGCCATATTGGAAAATGGCGGCTAAAATAATTTTTTTGACTTTACTACAATTTTTTTTTTTTTAAATCCAAGGCACTTACCATTTAACTTTTTTTGATATCTCTTATAGTTTTCGAATAAAACGGCTGGCACACTTATATCAATCACCCTGTATAAAAAATCCAGCTTTCCCCGAATTAGTTGTGAATATAATCCTTCATTGACTGGGCTTAAAGATGCAGTGATACTGACCAACTTACTTTACAACTTTTTAAATGTAAATTTTAATAATTTAACAGCCGATCCTTCAGTTTAATGATTAACCACAGTTATGAACCACAGATAAGAAAAGAACCAATTTATCAAAACAAATTTCAAACAAGTAATTTTTATTTATGATTGTAGCCTGATTGAGGTAGGTAAATCACTCCTTAGGGTGTTTTAGATCACAATCAACAAATTTAATTTATTGCAAATTAGTAGATTTATTGACGTAGTTAGTTTCTGAAATAAACATAATCTTTGGAAGGTAAAAGGGTATTGTATTTTTTGTTTTCCTTTGCAAACAAGTCTTGAACCCTATTGAAATGCGCAGATTGCTCATGGGTTCATGGCTCCTCTTTGCTTATTATTTTTCTATCTCATATCATCTCTCATGCTTTGCTAGAGTTGGCCTACATACTTTAATAGGATTATAATGTGAATAAACTATCATTCTTTATTAAATCAAGAACCTGTTTTACTTGGTTATAAATCATAAAATATTATTAATTTTTTTTCAAATCTTAGAGTTTGGAGCCAGCATACTAATTATAACCAGTAGATTATTGTTTTTGAATCCAAAACTTAAATCCCCACGTCAAAAATGGTGAAACTAAGCTGAACATGTGTTTATTTAACCCATGAATGTTTGTTTTCTAGCTCGCCAGTGGACCTACCAAACATGCACAGAGTTTGGCTACTATCAAACTTCAGAAAATAAAACTGATTTGTTTGGAAACGACTTTCCCCTAAACTTTTTCATCCAGCAATGTACTGACATTTTTGGCAAAAGGTAATGCATCAACTATGTTGTGAATATGATTGCTGTTAATGCAGTTTTTTAATTTGTCATTTAGCCTGCATTGTTATATCATCTCAGACATTAATAAAATCTCTAAAGATTTTTATCAATACAATACTATAATCATTAACTTTACCTAAATAAACATTCCACTTATTGATTTTTGTTATTGTACATTTTCAGGAGGAAGTCTCTTTTTTAAAAAATAAATAAGAGTTCTCATGCTCTATATAATATTTAATTTGTATTGTATTTACTATCAAGTTTGATTCAAACCTTGACAGTTTTTGCCTGTTGTGCTGGCCGGCTTGATGTAGATTTGTACCTGAATTATCACAATGACTATTGGTTACCATAACCTGCTGTTGTGTTTTGCTCCAGTTTCACCAAGGACGTAGTGGATGCTGGGGTGTACCGCACCAACACTATATATGGAGGTTTGGACCTGTCAGCGACCAATGTTGTGTATGTCCACGGCTCAATAGACCCTTGGCATGCTCTCGGCATCACCAGTGCCAGGGACAACCAAACTACTGCACTCCTCATCAATGGTACATAGCTTTCCTGTTATAGGTTTTCTTAGTTATTATATGTTTTACTACACCAAACAATAAGGTATAAAAAAGTTAATTATTTTCATATAAAGTTATGTTTAAGATCAATATTAACATATGAATATACTAATAGTCATGAATGGTGAGTTGGTTTCATGACCAACCAAGAGACCAAAGCAGCAATGTCTTGGATTTGCATCTCGTCTACTAGAATATTATTTTACCAGTACAGGTCATTCTTCCACTGTAACCACTCACCACACCACACACAGGCCTGAGGTCCATGCGGAAAGGTAAAATGTATGTTTTAAAAAAGGCTACCAATGTCTAAACATGTTTGCTACCGATCGCCACATATATGCGACACTGCGGTCATTGTCGCGGACCAATTAGACCGGTTGTCTTTTGGATCACAGTAAACACAGACAACAGGGTCAGTGATGCAACAAAGTAAAGAAGTTTTGCCAACTATCATATGACGTCACTAATCGTCATATCTACTGTAGTCACATATGCGACAGATATCTCTGTAGACCACTGCAGAAAATTCAGGGCCTTCAAATAGACCATTATGAATATATAAGCGTTTTAAAAACATTGGTACATCAACGCAAATATGGTACAACGTCAGTCTATTTTAATGTGATTAGCCAGTCTATCATCGGTAGAAACCGACCGTCGCATATGTGCGTCGCTGGTCCATATGAATGAAAAATTTAGTACTTTTGCGGTAGCGAACGTGTTAAAAATTACCTTTTACATACACATATGATTTAAAAAACTATTTTATTTGCTAAACTTTGTAATACACAAGTTAAAGAAGACCAACAATATTCTGTTTTACTTTGAAAAAGTAGGCTATGCTATGAAGATTTAAAAGTATTGAAGACACTTCTCTCATTTCATTGGCATTTTGATGGAAGAGCATTATTAAACCAATAACTTCTGTAAGTCAAAATTATAACAGCATTATTTCTTTGTTACAGGAACAGCTCACTGTGCTAACATGTATCCTCCTGCGAAGACGGACTTACCCGCACTAAAAGCTGCCAGAAAAGAAGTAGGAGTTCTAATAGGAAAGTGGATTGAGCAGGAATAAAATAACTTTAAACGGTAACAAAACAAGGATCAAATTAATCAACCTCACCACATTTCCTCACCAAGACTCCATCTCTTAGACACCCACTTTACTCTATATGTTGGTTACCATTTCATTTTCCTCTCATTAACAAATCTAAGTTCAACAGTTGATTTCTTCTAAATGAATTAAACTAGTTTTCTTGAATACAGTTAAAACGAGGCACTATAATTAATGTTCTTAACTCCATCATATTTGGAACAGATTCAAACTCTTTTTGTTTCTCGTAAGACATTTACTTAGTAACCTCATAGTTGTCACATTTAGTGGGAATTAATCATTATGTTTCTGGCTATTTTTTGTTTTACCTTGTGCAGAGTTTGTGAAAGTAGAATGTTTTTATATTTATTTTTCTCCACAACATTAAACTTTTGACAAATGACATCTGTGCAGAAAAGAACTTCCAGTAATCATTAAACAGTTTGATGCTAAAGTACAATATAGCTAGTGTGGCCTGATAATAAAGTTTTCACCACACTATGATGTTTTTAGCTGTTTTACATACCTTAATTAATGACTGAAAGTTACGTTTTGCTGACCATGCCAGCTGTCATCGTCATTTTGGGAACGAGCAGGCTTTTACATCCCTAGTGCCGCAAAATCAGCTGCCCGCTTACTTTCTTAAAACATGAATGCATATTTAATACACAATCAGCATCCATAGCATTGCAATAGAATCGTTTTATTGTCGCAGCTGCCTAGCAACTATTTATTATTATTTTTTCTGATTCCTCAAATTATTTCATCACATAACCTTAAAGTTGTAGTTGTGTGACTATCAGTGTGCATTATCATTGTGGTGAATAATGGTAATAGGGTATAGTGTGGAGGAAAATATGCTATTTTTCACCACACTTGATTGATTGATTGATTGATTCTGTAGGGGCGGACCTTGTCCTGTTGCACGTCAGCCACTGATGGGCTTTTTGCGCTCCCCACATGGTACTTCAGAGTCTGTCAGACCTGAGTTGCTTAATGAGCTCCAGCATCCTGTCTATGAGCTCCTCCTGAGGAAGGTGTCTGCCCCTTGTCATTGCACCAAGAGTACTGTCCCTTACCTCATTCAGAGCTGTGCAGTCGTAGAGTAGGTGATCAGCAGTCTCCTCTGATTGCCCACATTTCCTAGAGTGTCACCATTGTGGATCCTCAAGCGATGCAGGTGCAATTTCAGGAAGCCATGTCCAGTGACCAATCCTGTGATCTGTCTGAGTTGCCTCCTGTCTAAACGTAGAGCATTGGAGGCGACCGTCTGGGAAGGGGAGAAGAGGGTGAGCTTACTTACCCTATGGTGCTGAAGCCTAACCCATCTTTTCCACTACACTACCTAGGGCCAAAATGGTTTTGCAGCTCTCGATCTTTTTAAGTTCTCGACTTCGTCTCGAACTTTAAAACTATCTCGAGCCGGCAAAACCTCATTTACGGCCCTATAGGTACGAAATATACTATTTCAACTACAAAAATATTTTAGTATTTATTCATATCATACCTGTACTATTCATTTATTTCGTAACACCAACCAGATGTGGCTTTATGAAGCTTTCTATTATGTATTGTATTGTATAATATTGTATACATTGTATTCAATATTCAAGAAATATTTTTATTCCAAACCAAACTAAACTTTCACTTATATAGTAAACACAAGGAAATTAACCACATAGTGGCCACTGTCTAAGCACAATATTTGTTTCAGTTTTTTTTAATTACTTTTTTCGTAATAAATATAACAAGTTTTTAAAGGCAAGTAATGAAACCCAAAAATATATTTGGCTATGCTAGCAGACATCAAAGAATTAATTTGTATTCCAACAGGTCTCAGAGTCTAACTACTGAGTGGGGAAAATCCTTAACATTTCAAATTTCTGTTGATTGAAAAGTATTATTTTACTTTTACTTAATGTAATAGTTCATGATATTTGATATTGAGCAATTTGCTTTTAACCCTTAAACTTCTGTTTGAAGATGTTGGTTGACATACTTTGTTTAACGATGCTCCCAAGTTGAGTCACTTCTAAACTAGTTGAAGCAAACATGGACCCCGCCCCGCCTTGAGTAAACTAGTTACATCAAAGAATCTTCACCCTCTAGTTTAACAGTTAGAGCATATGATTGACTTGGTTTCGTTGTAATAGTAATAGACTCCTCTATATTACATCACTTTTTCAGTTTTACTTGATGAAAATTGTAGTTTTAGAGAGCACCAGTTTAGGATATTTCATGTGTCAAATAGCATACAGTTTTCACTCAATCTTCAATTCAATGCCGTTGGTAAAGAAGCTCCAAAGTGCTATTTTATATTGATTGACTTTGACACTTAATAACGAGTCTATAAAATAGTGAGCAATATTAAAAACAAAATCCACTGGGTGCCTTCTAAAGATCTCACACAAATTTAGTTTTTTTTTTTTTATCTGAACTAGCTCCTCAATTGTATAAGTGTGAAATTGTCTACGGATTTGTCATCTTCTATTTGCTGGCTTATAAAGGAAGAAGTTACTAGGATAATAGGTTATCTTTATTGTGGGAGTGATGATTGATTGACTGGTGGTGAACCTTTTTCCTTGACGCTACTGCCACGCATCCGTGCATTTAACCCTTACTGTTTCGTTCCTCAGAGCCAGTCAATCTAAAGATCCTTGATGAACATCATTACGTGAATGAGCTCTATAATCCCAAAACTACTACTACCCAAAGAGTTCTGCTAGTGGGCTAAACAAGAGTCTTCAATTAGGGAAAAACGAGAAGGAAGTCTCCATCAAAACTGTTTGACAAGACTATATAAAGAAGTAAATTAAGAAGACGCCTCTATGACTCATAGAAAGAACTGTGGTGGTCTCTGTCGTCAGAGGAGTCAAACTAAAGATGTGCACGAGATGGAGGGGCAACAAATCAACGTTATTTCTTACAGTCTAAATGAGTTGGAGGCCCTGTTTAAGATCAAATACTGTGATTCTACCATGGTTGAGGAATAATGGATAGCGTGAGGAGGAACAGAAATATTTTTCCTTGCTGCGGTCGATTTGGGTACTTAGGCTGGTGTCGATTACATCCGAGCGCAAAGAGGCTTCAACACATGTCTTTGTTGGTGAAAACTCTCACAGGCAAAAGAAGTTGCAACTGAACTTCCCATTGGCGGGATCAGGAGATCACCCTTTTTTTTCATGACGCTACAGCCACATCTGGGAATAACTTTCTTTTCTAACTTTGTAAAAAAATCGGAGGAATAAAAATGTATACCACTATTTTCATTGGGGTGATGATACTACTGTATACGATTTTATTCCTCTGTTTCTTTTACAAAGTTAGTGTCTGCAATAAATAATTTTTATCCGGCTCTCCTTGTTTCTGAAATGTTAATTTGATGTACTTTAAATATGAATCAATTTCCTGTAATTAGACTCTGAATGCAAAAAGCTTAGTTATAATTTACTCCAAATTACTCCTAACAGATTATTCATGCTAAAACTAAATAAACTTGACTTACAGATGAACTTGATCTACACAGGCTTTCTTTTAGAATCAATTCAGATGCTTTTCTTGAGCTGTTCTCATTGGAGATATATTCAAACTTAAAATTAATCAAACGGTAAAAAATGTATTTCAATGTAGAAATATTATGTTAATACTTTTTTTTACAATGAAAAACTTTGTAATTTGATTTTTTTAATTAATTTTAATTACATCAATTCTGAGTTAAAATGAGTTTTTTAGCCTACATTAAAATCCCAATAACATTTACTTTTTAATATACATTTTAATCACAATAACTCCTGCCCTTACCAAATCCCGCCCATGGAACTTCCCATTAGTCAGTACAAATCTCGAGCACTTTGATCAACAATCCAACTTGTTGCCTTGGTGATCTTTACATACAAAGGGACTCAAACGGCTTGTCATTTTGACATAGATCAATCATAGATAAATCAGGTGGGCTAACATGCTGAGCACTGAAGACAGATTTTACAACCTCTCCGTACCACTTCTCAAATAAAACTTGCAACTTCCATCCGAGATCAATCACTCGTCCCGGGTTCCAGTCATCTTGGAAGGGATTGCCACGAAACCCATTGTAAAGTAGGTACATCGGGATTAGGATAAGACTTGATGCTTGGCCCACACTCAAAAACCAGATATTTTTGCAATAAAAAAAAAATTAAAATTTAATTATCATACACAAGGTTAAAAGAACTTAAGGAATTGTTGGCAAGCATTAGTAAGGATATTTTATTTTGTTGGGCTGGAAGATCTTCTGAGCTCTACCAATTTGGTGTGCAGCATGATTTGGTAAACATTTCAAAGTATTCAATCATTATTTAGGGTTTGGATGAAAATGTTAAATGATTCATCAAAAACTCTAGTCTAAAAATAAGAAGCACTTCTCATCGTTTTCCACACCATAATTAAAACCTTTGACATAAATGAACCATGAATGAATAAGAAATCCCAGATTATCGCCACATTGAAACTCAGATGTGATAGACGGCTGTTGGAGCGATTGACCTATTATATGATAAAGTAGACATGTGGAATTCTGCTTTTCTGTCTGTCCATGTTTCTTCCCTGAGAACGAAAAACAGTTGAAAACTTTTATGTTACTGTTGTTAGGTTTTCAAATCTTGTCTTTTTTAAACATCTCTTACTAACCATAACCACAGTTACACAAATTTAATCAATGACATGACAATGACAATGACAATGATGTGATGTTTGACAATTCTAAAAGTCCTAAACAAAATGGGTCACACAGACATTATTTCATACGTAAAGAAAATCAGAAAATTCTCAATCATCCAAAAAAATTCTTCAAGAAATTCAATTTTTTACAAGTAACCAATAACCAACAAATTCCAAAAGCCTGTCTCGTAAAAATTAATCTGTAAATTAAATTAAATTTACACAAATCCAATTATATAAACTAAAGTTAGGTATTTAATGTTTATTAAAGTTTAAAAATATTCTGATGAACTCTTTTGAATAAGTATTAAAATACATACCAACATGGCTATAAATTTGAATGTTCTGGGATTGGCGCCAGAAAGTGGATGTTTTCAAATAAACAAAACACTTGAGAGAGCTTGCCATATAGCCTAGCGTTCATTGGTACACTGAAAATCCATTACAGTCTCAACTTTTCAACATAAGCTTAGGCCTACAGTATCTCAATCGGTTCTTTGGTATCCTAAGGTTATTATACTCTCGAAAATAGGCCAGATGTAAAGTATTTTAGTTACATAATCTGTAAGTAGAGTCACGTTTGTAAATCATTAGGCCTACTCACATACAACATTCATGACGATTTGGTATTTGATGAAAAGTTTGTGTATTATTGTCTTAAAATCTTTCAACCATCACCTTAAACTCTGTTGGAAAATGTCATTAGAAAAATAAGAATGTCACTCGTCCTGACTTAGCTTACAGTAAAAAAAACAGATATACATTTGAGAGTGTTTGTTTGGTTCTTCGTCCAGACAGATTTTCATAATTTTGGTCATAAATTAAAGTTATGGACCAAACGCACTGATTTGCCATCAAGCATCGGCATTCATTTGTATGATGTATATTTTGAGTTCTGCACAAAAGCAACTGCCTCCCTGTACATTTCTTATGGGAGTTAAATTTGGTGTTTTTATTTTCCGAGTTCGTATGGCTCTTCTAACCGACCGATTTTCATAGATTTTGATCTTAAATTAAAGGTAAGCACGCATGGATTTTCCATAACTCACCATCACTTTTTTATCTACTGTATTACTTGACCAAAAATTAAATTATTTTTTAATTCTTTCTAAATTAATTATGTGTTTCACCAGTTCTAACTACATCCTCCAACATGTTTTGGTCATAGAACAAACTTTCAATGAAATACCAGCTTTCATTTGAACTATTGATTATTAAGATCGGACGTACCTAAAACACGCTGCTGAATCACGAATCAACAATCATTATTATTTATTTTTGATGTCTTGGTCAAATCTTTGGTCTTGGTTAAAATACTCCTAAAATAAAGGCTTTCATTTGAGATGTTAATCGTTTGGATCAGTTAAGTTCAAGATACTGTATAACGCAATCAAAAACCCTATTTTATTACCATTATTGTGCATTTTATTTTTACCCGGGCAACGCCGGGTTTTGCTGCTAGTACTTATGAAGTCAAACTGGATGAAGCCCGTGGGTAACAGCTAGTTTAGTTTAATGGTATTTTCACCACACTCTGATGTTATTAGCTGTTTTACATACGTTAATTAGAGGCTGAAAGTTAGGTTTTGCTGGCCATGCCAGCTGTCATCGTCATTTGGGGACCGAGCAGGTTTTTTTACATCCCTAGGGCTGCAAAATCAGCTGCCCGCTTGCATATTAAATACACAAACAGTATCTAT